GCGACAACTAATCAGTCTGTAAAAAGGTACGAAATGGCAGAGAATCAGTGTTGCAAGACATGTGCTCCAAAAAGTGGTGGTCCTCAGATCAAATCGAAATTCACTTTTGCTCTTATGAAGGAAATCCGTGAGAAAAAAGGAAACAGGGCTTTATTTGCGGGTATGTACTTGAGTTTTTTCGTTTTTTCTGGACGAATTTTTCAGGAATTTTTGTGAAAAAAGGTGCTGGCATGATTGAAACTGTAAGAAAGGGAACAGGGGCAAAATGCTGTTGCATTCAGTCTCAATCTGTACAGCTGGTTTTTATGCGCCTTGCGCTGTGTAACAGCAGTACAAAATGCATATTGTCACGGGGTTGTCTGTGTGTATTTGTGTGTATATATGCTGGCACTTGGTGCTGATTGATCCGTGTATATTTATGCGTTTGTGCCTATATGCAAATTGCGAAAACGCATATTGCGACGGCCCTGTCTGTGTGTGTATGTTTGTGTGTGTTCGTCTGTCCGGGTGTTTCAACTCGACAACCAAGTAATTTTCAGCGCGAATTTTGTCCCTCACTTTCAACTCGGGAATCGTAAAAGCTAGGAAGCTCAAAATTTAGGAGGGCGTTTCTCGTCCACGTGACCCTGCAAATTTAAATTCAGCCTCCTCGTACCCTCGGATAACACTACGGCCTCGTAGAAGTTTTGGCGGGTAAAATTGTTATCATAGGAACCACGAAAGCTAGAAGGCCGAAACTTTGTGGGCATTTCCCCTGCTCACGTACACCCAGAAAATTTAAATTCAGCCTTTCCCTGCCCGAAGTAACACGTACGGCTCCGTAAAAAGTTTTGGTGGGGAAATCATTATCTCGGGAAGCACGGAATTTAGGAAGCTGAAATTTTAGGGTAAAGACCCCTTACCTACATACAAAATTGCAAATTCAAATTCAGCGTTCCCGCACTCTTGGGTGGCCCCCTGAAAATTTTGACGGGTTAATTATTATCTCGGAAACCACGAAATTTTGGAAGCCGATGTATTAGGAAAATGGCCCGCTGCTCACGTACGATCTTGCAAATTCAGTTTCATCGTTCTCGCACATCCAGCCTTCATGAAAGTTTCGGCGAGAAAAATTATTATCTCGGGGTCACGAAAATTGGGGATCTGAAATTTTAGGGCGATGCTCCCTATCAGCGTGCGACTCACGCAAATTTGGATGCAGCCTTCACGAACCCCTGAGTGACATGTATAACTCCGTGGAAATTTCTGTAGTGAAATTATTTCGTGAGCCGCAAAAGCTAGAAAGCTGGAATTTTAGCGTGGCATCTCCTGCCCACGTATAACTCCACAAATTTTCAACGTCCCCGTAGAAGTTTTGGTGGGAAAAATCATTATCTTGGGAGCCAGAGAGTTAGGGTGTTTTATAAACTCGAATTTATTTCCTAAGTATGCCGAGTTCACAAGACGACCAACTGAAAGTTTTGTCTCAGAGATCATTCGAAAGCCAGAAAATTAGGAGATAGAAATTTTGGAAAGATATTTATCCTTCGTGGTTTCGAATTCCGCTTTCACGTGCCGATGCGTGAAACTAACTATTTTTTGACAGTCCAACTATTTATTCACAAACCAAAGTTCAAAGCAATGAAAATCATTAACAGGCAATCGTTCGGTGGACGGAATGTCACAAAACACATGATCGCACTGGCTATTCTGGTGCGCGCTGCTATTTATTTTTCCAGTCACAGTTTCGCATGGCTGCGAGAAATCAAAGAGTGTAAACTAGTTTCATAAATTTTCGGCAGTTGCTAAAGCTCGGCTTGATCGGTCGGATTTGGAGGCGACTTGCAGTAGTTGTAGTCTACTGCTCTCGGATAGTGGAGTAGTGGTAGGAAGATGGACGGGGAAAGGTCCCGAGGGTCGTAACGGAGGAAGTGGGGACGGGCATATTGAGTGGTGAAGAACCGAGACCTTGTTTTTGACGGGTATTGAGAACAGGGCGTGGATTATGTTGGAGAGGGGAGAGGGGAGGGCTTAAGGGTTCATGATACTCAGCAAGAAACCTGATGCTTATCTATGATACTTTACAACTTACCCAAATAAATAAACAGCGGTGCACGCCAAGGTGGTGGTGTGACGATGCGTTTCTCGCAATCCAGCGGACGTTTGCTCTTAAGAATGTTCAGCGCTTTACAGTTTTATGTTTGCAAAAAAAGTCGGAATCTTCTCGAGTTGCGAAATTTCCCATCGGTAATTTCAATTGCTTGCGCGTGTAATGCAGGCGTTTGTGTGATTTGAGTTTATGAGATTGCACATGGACAGAAAACATCCTCCGATAACTTTTGTCTTCTGCTTGTCTGGTTCCTCAGTTAAATTTTCACGCATCTGTATGTAAAGTTTAATCGAATAATCTATGGTTGCACATTCACAGGAATGATAATTTTTCAGCTTCCACCTTATCTGATTCTCGAGGCAAAAAATTTCCAGCCTACGCTTCCACATACCCGTACGCGAGACCTGGAAAACGAAAAAGTCGTACGTAGGCAGAAAACATCTTGCTAAAATTTCGACAGCTCAAATTTTCTTGTTCCCCAGTAGTGATTTTTCCGCCAAACACTTCACATATTTGTACGTGTAGGCTGAATTAACTTTGCGGGTCGTACATGGGTACCGAACACCTTTCTAAAATTTCAGCTTCCTAACGTTGCTAGCTCGCGAATTGTTAAATTCCTCCCAAACCTTTCACATGCTCGTGCACGAAATCCAAGTACAATTAAAAACTGAATTTAAAGTCTCTGGATCGCACATGAATATGGAACATTCCCATAAAAACAACATTTTAGCTTTTATGGTTCGTGAATTAGCAAATTTCTTCGCTAAATCTTTCATGTATTTATAAAAGTGGACTAGGCGTACTCAAAACCTGAATTTAAATCCGCTGCATCGCGGTCACACTGCATTAATACAGGCGATCCCTCTACAGGATAGAATCATGTAAAAACGCGTGATCGCACCAGCAAGCGTCGTTTGGGTTGCGTCCCATACAACTGTTGAAGCGCAGAACGCCAAAAAAACTGGGACAGTCAGAAGTTTTCGAACTCAGCTGCTTAGATCCGCCCGGGACCCACATACGGGCACGTGAAAATTTTGGCGGGGAGATCGCTTACTCTGAAGCGCGAAAAGTTAGAAAGTTGAAACTTTAAGGCAATGTTCAATACACATGTGCGAACAACTAACTTCAAATTTAACTCCTTATAACCGCCCGTGTCATACATACGAGCATGTGAAAGTTTTAGCAGTGAATTGCTAACTCGGGAATGAGAAAAGCTAAAAAGCTGAAACTTTAGGGAAGTGTGCGATTAAAGGATTTCGTATTCAACTCTTCTAGTGGAATCTTTTTTGCACACCACCAGCTTTCCATTTGTCGGGTCACTGAAGCCGATATCTACAGCTCATATGCCACATGGCTGCACAATTAACTTCCTGAACTTCGAGGATCAGTATGTCACAAATCCTAGCTACTGGGATTCCTTGCGATCTTGCTACAGCACTAAATAGAGCAAAAACGCATGATCGAACTGATCTGCTTGGTACGCTCCAGCCTGGGTTGCATTTGTATAATGTGCGGCGGCGCTGAGTTTTAGTAATTGCTCATTTTTCTTCTCTAAATTGCAAGGGAAGGGTTGGGAATTCGCAGGTATTATTTGTCGTTGTTTACGTAATTTGGCCGATCATGTTTTTCATGTCACTTCGGTTTAACATCAAATGTCAGAAAACTGGTTATAAGAGCATTGCGGCAAAAAGACTCACAGGTTGGAAAGTACACATGGTCCCGGTTCCTGGTAAATGCACACCAACGCGGGGAAGAATTCTACTGTCGTGGGTGGTATTTTTCCTTTCTCTCATAAAGGCTGTAGTGCTAAAAACACTGTTATTACACTTAACACTTTTTGTAACAGTAAATTGACTTTTAAAGATAGGGTGTTTTTCGAGATTTTTGAAAAAATTCCGATCCTCCGTTCCCTCCGCGCCCCACTTCACCAAACTGTTTCTTCCTTTGCTTCTTCGCTCCTTCCTCAATACTTCCTTCCTCTTCCCATCAGCCTCTTTCGGGAAGAGGTTGAAATTTGCCTTCTTTTTGCTCATCTGGAAAAAAATTTTAGCCTCATTAATGCAATAACGTTTGTCTTTGCAGGTTTAACGGCACGTGTGATCAAAGTTTCGTTGGCCTGTGCTACAATGATAGGTTCTTACGAATATTTTAAAATATCCTTTGCAAAAATGAACAACATTCATGCCGATTTAGAAGCATCTAAGCGTCAACAACGGTGAAATCCAGCATTTTCTCGTCTGCTTCATCGCTTCTAGTTTCGATTAGTTCGGCGCCAGTTTAACTGTTAACACTGCTGCACCTATTTGTTAGGAGTAGTATTTTGATGTATTATAATGCAAGCTGTTAGTTTTTCACAT